GTCTAAAGGTTGAATATAAATGTCTTAACATAACAATTATGAGAAAGACATGATGGCTATGTTAGCCAGTTGGATGAGAGTTTTCCAAACTGCATATGGAAGCAACACACTGTATCCTATGATAGAATTAATGTACAGAATTATGATCTAATAAAAAAAAATAGAAAAAAAGGAGAATGATATAAAACTAGTACACTAAGCGTCAGTCTTAAGAAAGTGGAAAATGAAGAGCTAATTTATCCCAAACTAAGCAGAAAAAAGAAATAAAAAAAATTAGAGCAGAAATCGATAAAATTAGAAATATTACGCTAGAAAAATCATCAAGACAACTTATTATCCATGCCTTTGGTAACACATTAAAATGTTTCCATTTGCTATTTGAGAAGGTTTAAAGTAGGATAATGTATGTTTAATTTGCACTTTTTCATTTTTAAGTTATTTTTGCAAGTTTAATAGCCATTTCCATTTGCTCACCTCTAATGTGTCCACACTATTCATTTGCCATGTTTTTATTACCTTACAAGTTTATCTGGAAATGTGGCATATTTTTTAATACAAACCAGCAAGTTATTTAATATCATGCGCAATATACACATCATGTTGTAAAGAACCACTTTCAATCTCACCTATATATGTGTCAGTATAATACATGCTATACTTTAATATCTAGCCATGCACATATATGTGTATAGATATATGCACACACCTATACACATGTGTTGTCTTACACATGCATGCCAAGTATAATGGCTTTCTCTAGTAAATGAGCTTAAAAGTTTAATGGATAGTGTCTCTCTCATGCTACACACATCAAAACAGAAGCAAGGGCAAAATATGACTAGAATCTGCTGCCTATACATGCTCATTTGTTGATGCTGTAGAGATGGTATCGGGCTCATCACTTTACAAAAAAACATCAAATTATATATTATGTATAAAACAATGAGATAGAAAGTAGAAAAACAGAATCAAATCTGGGAGGCTTTCCAGAGATTTTTGTTCTCTTATATGGGGAGGGAGGAATCATACTCAGAACACTTGAGAAGTAATATAAAAGGAATCATCATAGATGATTCTAAGTGCGAACATGAAGTTAAAAGAATATTCTAAATCTTTATTTTTTATTAACGATAATACCCAAGCAGGACATGAATTTCAACACTTAATGTTTACTCTTGTCACTGATCCTATCAGTATTTCCCTAAAGTTTCAAGCTGCACCTGGACACAGGTTCTTTCTTTCAAATCCAAAATTCCAGTGACTCTTGGTGACATTCAGCCAAGAGAGCTTCCCTACCCTCCCACCCTTTATCTCTCTCTGTTCTTCTTATTTTGAGGAAAACCATGGCTTCCATTTCCAGAGACTCTGTTTTCTTTAATTTCTTACTGGCATTATACACACAAGAAGGAGAGTCTACAATCTGACTCAGCAATTAATAGCACTTTTTATTTAGAACATGCACAGGAGAAACAGCTCTTCATTATCATACACTAATTATTTTTCTCTGTTTTCTAGTGACAGCATATTAACAATTCAAGTATTATCATATGTGGTAGCAAATATTATGTTATGGTGTGTGGGGAGCAATAGATATAGTTGTGTGGAAAAATTCCAGAAACTCTCCTTAATGGACATTTGTTATTCACTGCATCCTAAAGGAATAGGAAGACATGAGATAATGGTAAAAGAGAGTATCCCTAATAGTAGGAAGGAGGTGGAGGGTGTCATCCATAAGGGACAGGTACCACAACAGCCACAGCAGCCAGATGATTTGCCCTTCTTCACACAGGAATAAAGCAGATCTTGTATAAGGGTGGCAAAGAAATAGTCCCAGAGGGAACTGAGGTGATATCAATCTTCCTTGTATCAATTGAAGATTTCAGGTTGAAGTTCTGTAAAATGCTGGTCAGGAATAAGAAAAGCTCCATGCGAGCCAGTCCCTCTCCCAAACAAATCCTTTTGCCTGAAAATAATAAATACAAAGGGGAGTTACTACTTACATGTAACTGTGACTAAAACACTGTGTTTGTGGCTCTCATAAACAAATTATGCAGCAACACATTGATGAATGCTTGGATGGAAGAATGAATTGATGGATAGATGGAAGGATAAATGGATGGTTCATTACCTCCTTAAAAATGTCTTGCCTTGTCTTTCTTTATTCCATTTTCTGTCTCCTTTCAGGCAGGTCCTCTTTGAATGTTGCTTACACCAGCTTATGTTTCAGTGTTGGGAATGAGACTGTGGGAAGCAGGCTGCTGCTCCACGTGTGCCCTACACTCAGCAACCTTGCTTTTGTTGCCCTCACAGCCCTGTCCTACTGAATTACAATGGGCTGTTTATACATCTGCCTTTCCACCTGTGGGTGAGGCCTTGTGGTGCCCATTCTGTTCTTGCTTATATGTGAATCCCCAAAGCTTACCTGGGTGGTGAGGACACCAAGTGAAAGATACTCAATGAAAATGGAGAGTGAAAAACATTTGTAGTGGCAGATGAGAAACTTCTAAATAAGTTTTTCCTTTTTGGAAGAGTTCTTGAGCTCCTCACTGGTGTATCCAGGGCAGAATTCAACTTACCCATACATCAGCTTTCCTAATCATAAAAACCTGTTTTATCTCCCCAGAGACCACTAGTCTATCCAATAGCAAGGATGGGTAATGATGGAGGAAGCACATGGGCACTGGTGGTGGGGTTCCAGATCATGTCCAGGGAATAATTCTACCAGCCCCAGAGGATTTCCAACTAATCCCCCAAAATGATCTTGTCCATAAATAAAAAGTCAAATTAATTTCTATTACCTGTTGAGAAAGGCATGAAAAAGTCACTTTTCTTAAAGTTGCCACTTTCATCCAGAAAGTGAGCAGGGTTGAATGTCTCTGGGTCAGGGAACTCATTGTCATCATGCAGCACCGAAGTCAGGGATGACATTATCATTGTTCCCTGGAGACAACAGACATAGGTAAACCAAGTTCTAAAGAACTCACAGATTTGGAAGAAAAAATAGTAAATACCTAGTTAAAAATCTTTCTATTTACAGGTGAGAAACATAGGACCATGGAAGAACAGTAACATTTCCACAGATAGACCCAGTAATAAACAAGATGAGTTCAAGGCCACGGCAATGATCTTACTAAAGTGGTCTCCAATCACACTTGAAATCCTGAGTACTTGGTTGCTTCAGAAATAAACCTTCTGAATCTGTTCTCCTTATTATCAGGCTTGGACACCAGGGTCTGTGCCCATTGGCTGCTCTATTTCATCAACTTAGATTTCACAAATTCTACATTTATATTACAGTGCAAAATAAAAATCTCTGTTGGCACATGACACATCCAGCATCATATAACTTTTGTAAATAAACATACCATACAGTTTAAAATGGTGTCATCTAAGATGAGAACAAAAAGTATAGTAACAAGTATAAAACCAGTGAGTGTTTATCATTGCCAAGCAGTTTGTCTTAATTTAAAAATGTCACAGAGATATTCATTAGAGATTGACCCAAAAGTAAAATCACAGAAGGGATAATAAAATTAGAAAAATCATCATTTTGCTACCAGTCAAGTCAGGATTATCAGTTCAGACAAGGATTATCAAATAATAATTGATAAAGCTAAAGCTTCGTGGTGTGTGATTTGGGAAAGAGGATTTTAACATAGTCTTAAAGTACAATGCATGAATTTTTATTACTTATATATAAAGAGCAAAGTCTTCACAAGAGACCACCCTATTACTGAGGAACTTGGTGTAACCAATACTAGCATAAGTGACATAGGTGCCCCTATCTCACCAATGAGATTCTGTGGGATACTGAAAGCACTTATGTAGCAGCCCGTATAGCCTATGGCTAGGAGGAGTAAGTTATAAGAAATACCTGTATAGCTCAATAATGGAACACCTTGGTGAAAAGGGCATGGAGAGGGATTTAGCTCTCCTAACAAGCATGAGAGATCATGAGATGAGAGCATTGGTGAATTGGCAGTCTTTACACCTCTCATGTTGAGAGGCAAGAGATCAGCCTTATATTATGCTGAAGGAGAAGGCAGTTGGGAACATGCACATTCTATCATGGACCCGCTTACACTGACTCTGTCATTTCTGCCAGCACAGTGTCTCTCTGCTGAAGATCCCTAAGCTCTGCTAAAGACTAAGATCTACCTTTCTAAGAAGATTGCTTTACTCTCTCAAAGATTATCTCTCTCTCTCCCCTCAGCTAAAGTAAATAGCCCTCTGGCACCTAAGACCAATTGTTCCTGAGCACAGTAACATAGCAGTCCATCTCTGGAAACTAGATAAGCCAGGGCTCGAGACCAACCAATCCTGGGCCCTGATAAGTGGCGACAAAGGGACCCTGACACACTTATGCTTTATTCTTCCCAAAATCATAACTGGAATCTAATCTACAGAACAATCACAAAAATAACCTGAGAAACATTTGAAATGTGCAGGCAGAATGCAGACCAAAGACCCCATTCTTGACAAGGGAAAACACCCCCAGAAAAATGGAAAAATTAAAATGTAAGCTGAGTGAATCAGAACAAAGGAAAGTCAGCTAGTTTACCTTTAAACCAGCTGCTGCTAAATTTCTTATCTGACTAAGTTTCCAGCTTTTCCTAGAGCTCTGGTCTATTGGAAATACAGCTTAAAACACCCCTGCTGGGCCTGTAAACACTCAGGAATAATGGCCATAGAAGATGCTGTGGCAAGGGCCTGGAAAAATGCATTAACTAGGCCCTTTCCTGCCCAGTAAACAGACAAAGCAAATACCCATTGTGGAGATTTATATTTGGCTGGGGCTTGAACCCTGAAATGTGAGCAGGAGGGCTTATACCCCTTATTGCAGAGGAAGACCTTCTATGGTAGTGATGAGAGGAAAATTCCTCTCTCTCACTGATTCTTCAGAGGAGATTGATGCCAGTGGTGTTTTACTCCACAGTGAACTGTCAGAGTTTAACACTTCCCTAGGAATCTGTGTGTGACCTCAGACAGGAGGCTGCCCCCACACAAGGCTCAGGTTCCAGATTTCTCAAGACTCTTAGACACCTAAAGTTAATGATTATAGAAACAATAGCAGCTGATATGCTCACTGGGAGAAACTTCTGGTCTTTGTTCCTTTCCTCAGCTTAACCTTTGGGCTAATGAGCAAATAGCCTTTAATTAAAAAAAAAAAAAAGAAAAAAAACCCAGAAAATTAAAAAAAGCTGAGTGGAAATGACACTCAGAGCCACCTTTGGAACCCCACAAGTAAACAGTGGTCCCCTGAGTTCTCACATCTGAAAATTCTATTTTGTGTGTCTTGTCTCTTTTTTTCTCATCATTTACAATTTTATATTTCTTAAGTGGTTGCAGACAGATCCACAGGTCTTATCAGACCCTGCCCCCTGGGCAGAACTCTAGCAGAAATGGCTACCACTAGCTTGGACTTCAAAAAGTTCAACATACTGAAAAGAAATGCATGAGGGAAAGGAACTGTGTTCTTGATCACAAGACACTAAAGGGTCAAGATAACCAAATTATAATCAGTGTTCCTTGACTGGATAGTAAACTGCAAAAGAACAAAAGTTTATAAAGTTTTAGTAAAATTGGGAAAATTTATGTATACGCTGTACATTAGATAATATTATTATTTCAGTTAACTCCAGAGTGTGAATGGTATTGTTATTATGGAGGAGAAAAATCTTTGTTCCTGAGGCATATATGTGAAAGTGCTGATATGTGGACAGATGGATAGAGAGATATAAAAGCATATGTACACATGCTTTCATATGTACATATATACACATAAAAGTCTTTTATTTTATTTAGATTTAATTATTTAAAAAACATAAAGATGGGGGAATCCATCCTCTGTCTAATATTAAACACTTATAATTTTGTTTTTAAGATTTTTCCCTAGATACTTAAAAAAGTAAAACAAGAAAATGTTTTTATAAGACATAAAAGCAGATCTATTTTCAACATTGAAACTAAAACAATTGGAAATTCATAAGGAAAAAATTAAAACATGGCAATTATTATAAATCATAATAAAATTAACTTCAAATGTGTTGATATGAGAGTGTTAAAAAAAATAAAACTTCTACAAAAAGGGTAACCGTATAACTTTAGACCACTTTGTGCAAATATTCTTCACATATAAGGCACAAATACACAAATCAACCTCCCATTGCTGCCTGAACTTCGACTGAACAGAAACGTCTTCTACTGGGCATGAACAAATAATAGCCCATGCAAAAATCCAGCCAACCACTTGCTTTTGCATATTTCATTAACTAAGAATGTTTAAGTTGAAAAAAATGCAAAGGAGTAATATTTTTCACACATGAAAAATTATGGAATTTAAATTTCATTCTCCATAAAAATTGACACATATCCATCCTCATTCTTTCACACATTGTCTTTGGCTAATTCCACACATTGTCTTTGGCTAATTCCATGGCACAATGGCATAGCTCAGTAGAGCAACAGAAAACCCAGAGCCTACAAAGTCTAAAATATTTACTCTCTGTCCCATTACAGAAGAAGTTTGCCAACTCTTGTCTTAGACCATTATCTCCCCTCTGGATCAAAGGCTTCAGCCTGGGACAGAAGAGCAAACTTACCTGCCATGCAGCACCTCATATCCTATGCATAAAGGAGTAAATAGGTCACTAGGGATCTGGGCTCTGTAAGTTTAAAACTCAGCATAAGCCACCCTAAGGCATAGCAAATGGGTGATCTCCACAGATGTAGTGCTTCCCTAGCAAGGTTCCCAAAGCTGATGCAGTGGATGGGGGAGACTGACAATCTATGTCTGATTCTTCTATCCCATTTAGACAGATAACAGGGGAAGAACAAGTTTCATGAACATTAACCTTAGACCCAAGAATTGAGACACAAAAGTTGCATCCTTGGTGAAACAGAGTGGATTGAAATCCTAACCCTTGCACCAAATTAGTGGTCAGGGTGAGCCTCATAATCTCTGTATAGTTATCAGTTCTGCCTCTTGAAGATGACATTAGTAATCACAAAATTCCCATTGTCATTGATTCTTTTCCCAAAAAGGCAGTATTTGGTCATGTACTTTTTAATTTTAATAATAATACATCCTGCGTCAAGTGGAATAGACTAGCCTATAGCATAACAACTAGAACATCTGGATGAATATGGAAATCATGTGATAGAAGGCATTATAAAGCCACTAAAACAAAAATTGGTCTCCAAATTTCAAATATGGGAAAACATCACAATAGTGAACTCAAGCCTATAGTTAATTGTTGACTGTGTTCACATCATTATCAACTTTGATTCAGGGCACATGTTGCAGCATTATGACTGCCCATGGAAAAGGAATGAACCCTTTCTGAAAGAAAACAAACATCATCTCAAACTCTGAATTTTTTCATATATAATATCTGGCATTGCGCCAGAAGTTGTCAGACATTTCAAAGATACATCTATATTGTCATGAGAAGAAAAGTAGGAAGAGGGAAGACCATAAAAACAAACCAACATTAGAGAATATTTCTTACCTACATTTATATGCCAGCATAATTTTGATACCAAAATTCTGACAAGAAAATTGTGAGGAAAAAAATTACAGACCAACAACCCTGAGGAATATAGACACAAAGTCTCTGTAGAATATGAATGAGATCATATCCAGCTTCATGTATAGACTTATTTATATTTAATGAAGAATGTGAAGTCAATTGCCCACTATTACCAATTCTACCAATTCTATTCAACACTCTCAGGTAATCTTAGCCACTTCAATAATGAAATAAAGAGAAATTATGGACACAAGAATTAGAAAATTGAACAAAGTTTAACCCATATAATAGGATAATGTACATAGAAATTCCAAATGAATCTACCAACAAATTATTAGCAATGATTAATCAATTTAGCAAGATTAATAGATTCAAAGCCATAAAAACAATTATATTTCCATATTCAGGTATAAAGAAATGAGAAAGGCATTTTAAAAATGTATAGCACCAACAAAATATTAATTATCCAGGAAAAGCCTGGCAAAAAGAGTTGCAAACCACTTCACTCGAAAACTCATTATTAAGAGAAAATAGGAGAACATCCAAATAGATCCAAATATGCTCCCAATATTTTGGGAGTATAACCATATGCATGAATTGAAAGATTCAATACCTCAACATGTTAATTCTTTCAAATTGACTATAGATTTAATGTCACCCTGATAAAACCCCCAGTGGAGTGTTTTGGGAAAGTGACAAAAATGATACTTTTAACATTTATTTGAAAATGTAAACACTGAAGAGTAGGCAAAACAACATTAATGAAGTAGAACCAACTTAGAAGACACACATTGCTGGATATCAAGACCTCTTATGAAGCTTTACAGCTCTAAACAGAAGGAAATAAATTCCATCAAGCTGCTGCATACATGGGTTTTGCTCTTCTCTCATCTTGTGTTAGTAGAGAGTTCAAACCATACTGTCCATACTGTGAATTTGGGAATTTCAAGAACACTGAGGTATCATGTAGGAGAAACAAGTTTACCTTGGGGATCAAGTAGTTTCTGAATTTAATGTCATGGGTCACTGCACGGAGCGCATTGTTGGGGATGAGGTCAATGTATCTCTGGACTTCATGCACCATGGCATCTGTGTAGGGCATGCGGCTCCTGTCCTGCATACAGGGGCTCCGGTGTCTGCCAATCACATGGTTAATCTCCTCCTGGACTTTAGCTATAAGACACAAGTAAGATGTGATGAAAAAGAGAAAAAGGGCACATTTGTCATAGCAATTTAAGATTATATGAAGCATTAAGGATGGTGTCCCAACAGCATTATATACAACGTGAGTTTTATGCCCAGATATACACGTAGGTTAAGAATGAGAGTTGCATCGTGTATGTACATACCACTCTCTTACAAACTAAAAGTCACAATGCATCAGCAAATATTTATAAATTAGCATACCCTATAACTTATACACATAATAAATATAGAATGTATGTTCCTTCAAATGTATTGTATATATCATAAACATATAATAAAGTAGAAGTAATGAAATACTTCAAAAAATAGACACTATATTTAAGTCAAGAAATTACACTGCTTATGAACAGAAAAACTGGAAACAAATATTACATTTAGGTATAAAATAAAATGTAGGTTTCAAAAATACGTGTAACAGATCAATAAATTATGTATGTGTTTTATCAGTGTTTGTGTGTGTGTGTGTGTGTGCGCGCGCATGTGCATGTATAATTTGCAAAGGTAACATTTTCATCCTCCCACTTCCCAAATGTGGCTACTTTGGATATTCCAACATCTTATTCTGGAATTCATGTTCATAATTCCAGATAAGGACCCTTTGTTTTCATTTCTTCCTTGGCCATTATTAAAGAATATTTAAAGATTTCCTAATATGGGAGATGAGAATTTTCATTTCCATCTCAACACCCATAGAAATACTCACACACAGAAACAGATACATACCTGCACACACACAATTCCTGTCACTCTATTTAGGAGAATATATTTAGATTGCAATTTGGGCTTATATTACTTGTCATTGTTTATATCATTCTGACAATATAAATATTTCACTTCTCTGCTTAAACAAATACATTTCTTCTTTAGTACTTTCTTAGGCATAAAAACATGTTTTAATTGGATTCAAATTTTCTATTGTTCATGTGAAAATTACTTTCAAATGCTCAGGTGAATGTTTCAAATGCCAAGTAATAATTTTCCAGTTATTGGAAAGCCACAGAAGACTGATTGCTTCTGCTTTGTTCTTAGTATCTCTTGTCAAACCTGCCTTATCCCCTAAACCTATTCTGAAGTGGCTATTCTCTTAGCCTGGTGTCTTTCAGACTCCCTGACACTCACCTTCTCCTATATGAGGTCTCCTGACTGCAGGAGCTCATGACATCCTGTCTTTTTTCTCGGTTTTGGATATTTGGATGAAGCTCACTCTCCATATTAAACAAAGATGAAAAAGAGTATAAAATTTGTGGCAATCATGCATGTTTTAACTCTTTTCATTAATAGACAAACTAATATTTACTGTCAAGAATTCTGGTTCTTTCTGACACCTAAATTTTTTTTACATAACCTGACATAACTCTCTGAAAGATATTATGTTGTTTTATTTAATCTTGTTCTTCTGAAATTCCATGACCCTGCATCTTGGGGTGGAAGTTTTGATTTCCTTTGGTCTGATGAACACTTAGAATATTCTACAGATTGTGAGGTATATGTATACTATGGAATACTATTCAGTCATTAAAAAAATGGAGACTTTACAGCCTTAGTATTAACCTGGATGGAAGTGGAATACATTATTCTTAGTAAAGCATCACAAGAATGGAGAAGCACGAATCCTATGTATTCAATTTTGATATAAGGACAATTAATGACAATGATTCGGTGGGGGTAGAGGAAGAGGAGGTCAAAGAGAGGGAGGTGGGAGGAGTGTAGGGTCTCAGTGTGTGACACACTTTTTGGGGGCAAGGCACAATTGTAAGGGGGACTTTACCTAACAAATGCAATCATTGTAACCTGGTTTCTTATACCCTCAATGAATCCCCAACAATAAAGAAGAAAAGAAATTTATAAAATAAAAATGAAGAATATTCTACAGAGATGGAAAATGCAGAGGTCTTTCTCAACAACTTTTCTCTCTCACTGAAGGATATATCCTAGCTGAATTTCAGGGAGCAAAATGGAGACAGAACCTAAGTTTCTGCATTCAAGGAACAGAACCTTAACAAATCTTTTTTTCCAGGACTGTTTTTGTGGCATCCCTGGTGGTCCCTCAGACCAAGACTTCTTATCCTCCTTTTCTCCAAAGGAGGATATTGATTTGCGTGGGCAAATCAATAACCTGATAAAGGAGTTGGGAACCTAAACAAAAAGAGTCTCCTTTTTCAGCCTCATTGTCTACCTTCTTTGACACTTGGTACTTCCACATACTGAACCTTATGGGGATTGCAGAAATGCAGATTAGCATTTCTTGCATAATAAATCTTTTCATTCTTAATTTTAGGTTGCAACCTCCCTCTTTGCACTGAGTCAGTTATAGCCATCCCCATTTGCTCTCTGTGTTTCAGAAGTTTGCCAAAGACTTAAGGTCTGTTTCCTGAGCTCCTCTCTTCTTACTTTGAAAAGCTAATTCTCATCTGCAATTAGTTAGTTTATTGTTATTTAAGTGGGATCTTGACAAAACGGGCGGGGGAGGGGGGAGAGTATGATTCTTATCATACCTTAAAGGTTAATTTCTAAAGTAGAATTGTACATGAAGGATAAAATTATTGCTACATCCTTAAGAAATTCTTAATTTGTGAAACATCAGTCTTCTGGAACAGACTTCTAGAATAATAAAATTTCTTAAAGTACATCTTCTGCCTAAATCGAAACATCTTTCTTATGAATCTAACATTTTTGAACTTCCCAGCCTGGAAATTATCTCCAGGAGCCTCACAGCATTTCTAGGATTTCACTTATGCCTTAATAAGAGAGGTTCCCATTTTTCCTACCTTAACATTAGAACATGGAATTTTCAGAATGAGGAAATCTATCTTCAAAGACATACCTACCATTCCAAGCGCACTTTTCACAATCAAACCGACATACAATCCTAGGCCAATATATACTGGCTCTGCCTGCCAAAAATTGAGATGCCTAAAAGGCTAGAATGACTCCATTTTGGTAACTCCATTTTGTGACAGGCCCATGCAGGTCTCTAACTTGCACCATAACCCTACCTCAACCCATGTCCACTTGGCCAGTGCATGTCAAAATGCATCCTATGTTGAAGAACATCTGTGGGGCAAAAATGCCTCACATCCCAGAAATAGCGTAAATGCCACTGTCCCTTCCTCTGTAAGCCTTCTCATTTATAGCGCTGCTTCTGTAAACATAACCACCACCTACCTTCCCCTGCCAGCCTTCCTTTTAACCATACAAAATTCTGCTTCTATGAAATTCCACTTTGCTCCCCCTAAACCCTCCCCAGCTATAAGGAGACTATAAAATCTTAAGAGACTTAATCTCGGGATGGAGAGTTCCTTAGCATGAGCCTCCTCTCCACCATGGCAATAAAGGACTCAAAACTGATTGGATCTCACTGTGCTGGCGCTCTGACTATAATCCCAGTCTCATGTGGGTACAAAATATCACCACCCATGAAATTCACGAGCTGCCCCAAGCCCTACTGCTTTTCATACTGCCATATTTTCTTCACTTCTCTCAGTCATTCTCCCCTATTGAACAAATATTTCTTGCTTTAACCACATTGTTAAATTTGGACAGATTACAGCAGCTGGCACTAAAGTTTAAACAGTGAAATTTTTCTAAGAAGTATAAGATGGCAGATCCTATCAACATCTACCCAAAATCTTTTCTGCACTTCACTTTGCTCACCATCTGTGGTCATACCTGTGACCTCTGGGTGCTTCAGCAGGAGCAGGAGGGCATATCTCAGTGAGGTGCTTGTTGTCTCTGTCCCAGCACCGAATAAGTCAGATACAGAGCTTACCAAGTTTTCTATAGTGAATGCAGACTCTGAGTTATTCTTTTCCTAGGAAAGATTTGATACAATTTTCTAACAAATTATTTGCAAGGATATCTAATTTCCTAAATGCTGAATGTCAGTAATCATTAGGGAAATGCAAACTAAAACCACAATGCAATACCTTACCCCTGTCAGGATGGCTTTTATTAAAAGTCTCAAAACAATAGATGATGGTATGAATGCAGAGAAATTTGTACATCTATGGAAATAAGTATGGAAACTTCTGAAAGCATTAAAAGTAGACCAATCATTCAAATGAGTAATGCAATTATTGTTCATCTACCAAAGAAAAAGAAATCATTTTATAAAAAAGACACTTGCATTCAAAGTGCAAGCATCTGACAGTGACAGGCAGCAGACCCTTTTCTTTCTGGTAACAACAATGCAAAATGTAGTCATTCTTTCCCATTAGTCTTTAAACTTTTAATCGGTTCCAGCATCAACTTAAAAGCTCTAAATAAGATGTAGGGTGGGATTCAAGGCATGATTCATCCTGAGACAAATTCCTTTCTAGCTGTGAGCCTGAGCAATTAACAAGCTACATTGATTTCAAAATACAATCATGGAACAGGATAAGGGAAATGTTCCAATTGTGAAAGGGAGAAGTAAGTAAAATGAAAGGGATAACTGGTTCCTAGTAAGTACAAAGCAATAGTTATGTCTTAAAGCTAGACAATGACCTTCTTTGACTTCATGCCCCATATCCTGAGCACACTGGGGTAATGCCTGCTTCTATGGCTTTGATGGGCTCAGTCCACTAGGAAACCTTCATGGGCTGGAGTTAGTGACTAAAGCTTTCCCAGGCTGGATTACCATACAGGCTATCTCTGCAGCTCTGGGGCCTCTAAGTGACCTCACCCCCACACCTCCACAATGTACAGCACCAGTGGAGATTCTCTGCCTTCCCCAACACAATTGTCCACCTGGCCACTTGGCTGTTTGTGACATAATTTGGACTCAAGGTAAAGGCTTCACGACCCCTCAGCTTGTGCACTCTGCATATCTGGAAAGTCATTGCCACATGGACCTCAGCAACATACCTGGCCTATGCAATTCAGTATGGCAGAAGAGTGGCATTGAACCCTTGAACCCTGGTCTCCTATCCAGTTTGAAGAGTGGGAAGATGTGGAAGGAAAATGAATGCTGAGGGCCCATGGACACCTCCCAGGAAAGCTTGTCCTCCAGGTCCCAGGTTGTCTTGAAGATTTCTTGAAATGCCTTTGGGGTCATTGTCCTATTGTCTTGATGAATAGCACCTTACCTTCTTTCTATTTACACTAATTTTTTAAGCAAATGATAAATTAGCCACAGTCTGGGATTGCTTTCCTAAAGATGCCTTTTCATTCTTGGCCAGGTGAGAAATTTTCCAATTTTTTCCACTCTGCTTCCCTTATCCATAAATTCTATCTGAAAACATTTCTCTCTTCTCTCATTTTACACTAAATGGCCAAAAGAAGCCATTCAGCCTTCAAATACTTTCACACATAGATATTTTTCCTTCCACATCTCTAATTGGTTGCTCACAACTTCCACATTCCATAAACTTTAAGCATGATCACAATTCTGCAAAGCTTTTTGCAATTGTATAATAAGAAAAACCTTTACTTTGTTTTCTATATCTTTTTCCAGCTGTCACCTTATCAGAATGGCCTTTACCATTCTTATTTCTACCAATATTTTTACTGACACCACTTAAATAATCTGTAAGAAGATTTAGTCTCTCTCACCAACTCATATAGAATACACTTCCCTCAATAATAGAAGAATGTACATTCTTTCTGCAGGACAGTGCATATTTTGTGTCATAAACAATTCTGAATACATTTTCAAAGATGAAAATCACACAAAATATCTTCTTATACCCCTCAATTAGGGAAAGAAAAATGAATGTTGAACACCATGTTCTTGAACCAATAGGTTAACAAAAATATAACTAGGGAAATAGAAAATATTGAGAAATAAATGAAAATGAAAATTAAATATACCAAAATAATGATAAGTAGCAAAAGGAATATTAGAAAAAAAATTATAACTTTAGACATCCACCTTAAAAACATGCTCAAATAACATAACTTTAGAACTTAGATAATAGACAAAGCATAGCAAAGTAAACTCAACACAAGGAGAAGGAAGAAAAAAAAAGAAAAAAGAGAAAGAAAATCAACAGAATAATCAGTGACACCAAATATTGTTTCTTTGAAAGATCAACAAAATTGACAAACTTAAACATGACTGCCTAAATAAAAAGAGAAGACATCAATTACTAAAATCAAAAATGAAAGTGAGACATTACCAGTGATTTTGCAAAAATAAAGAGGAATTTAAGATAATACTAAAAACAATCATACACCAGCAAATTAGATAATCTAGATAAATAGAAATCTTCCTAGAAATACACACCTTATTAAAACTGACTCCAAATGAGATAGAAATTGTGAACAGACTTACAATAAGTAAAGACATTGAATTAGTAATTAAAAACTATCTCCGGGAAAATATACAGGACATCAGGCTACATGACTTCACTGATGATTTATACCTAAATTACTTTTAAAAATTAAAGTCAACCTTACTCAAATTATTACAAAAAATTATAAGAGGAAGGAATACTTCCTAAAACACTATCAGGATAGTCTGATATCAAAGTTCAAGATACTATAAGATAAGACCATTATTTTTTATGAATCTAGATACAGAAAGTCTCAACAAAATAATAGTTAACCAAAGCACATTAAAATACTGAAAAAAAAAAAAAAACACCAAACAAACAGATCCATGCACACATACCCAAACAATCTAATTTAAAAATGGGCACAGGACTTAAACAAGTGTTTCTCTTAAGAGGGCATACAAACGGCCAATGATCACATGAAAAACATGCTCAGTGCCACTAAATAATAAGGAAGTGCCAATTAAAACCATAATAAGATACCATCACACCCACTAGGAGGATTACATTATATACATATATATAATAACTCAACATTTATCATGATAAAATCACTCAGAAAACAATGAATAAAGAGGAATTTCCTTATCACATCAAGCACATTTAAGAAAAAATTCTAAGCCTATTTCATACCAAATTATGAAAGTCTATAACTTTATTGTAAAGTCAAGAGAAAAAACAAAACACATGTATGTTCACTTTTCACTCCATCCAATATATCACTAAATACCTAGCCAGGGCATTTAGGCAAGAAAAGAAAACATGTTTAGATAGAAAAGGAGGAAGTAAGATTAATTCTAATCAAAGATAACATGATACTACATAAAGAAAAGTCCATACAATCCATGAAAAAACAACTAGCAATATTTCAGGGTACAAGATTAATGGAAAATTGAATGCATCTCCACCAACAATGAACAAACTGAAAATTAAATCAAGGAAATAGTTCATTTATAATAATATCCAAAATGGTAAAAAGGCTAAGAACCTATGTTACCAAGGAATGGAAAGACAACAAAATCTATCAACTGTTGCTAAAAAGAAAAAAATACCTAAATAAATGGAAAACCACCCCATCTTCAAGAATTGGAAGACATAACATTATAAATGACAATGCTTTCCAAAATTATATGAAGATTCAGTGTAATCCCTATTAAAATTACAATCACCTTTTCTTGGGGGGAGGAGAAACAGAATTTCCATGCCTCAATTCATATGCACCTACAGGGGAAGATTCAATTTCCCAACTTCAATACTTCAACACAAAGCTTTAAAAATCAAAACACTATGATTCTGGAATATAAACAGACATCATGGCCAATAAAATAGAATTGAAAACAAAATAAAAACCTAAATATGTATTGCAAATTCATTTTCAACATGCATTCCAAGACTATTCCACTAAAGCAAGAGTTTCTTCAACAAACAGTGCTGGGACATCTGCTTAATCCCATATGAAGAAATGAAGTTGGCTTCATACCTCATTCCACATTCTATATGCAAAATAATTCTGAAAGTGGATGAAAAGCTTAAGGATATGAGCTAAAACTATAAAACACCTAGAATAAAATATAGAGGTAAATCTTACTGCCTTCAGATTTGGTAATGGATTCAAAGATTTAAAATTAAATGAGCAAAAGAAAAAATAGATAACTGGATTTCCTCAAAATTAAAATGTTTGTTTATCAAAGGAAATAATGAAAAATGTAAAATACCATACAGAATGGGAGAAAATATTTTCATATTATTTATTTAATATGGGTTAATTAAATGGGTTTAATGTCAAGAATACATAAATCAATTCTCATGGCTCAGCAATCAAAAGCCACACAACCCAAATAAAATAGGCAAACCACCTGCATTTCATTTCTTCACAGAAAATATAAAAGCAAGAAACAGCATATGAAAAGATGCTCAGTATCACTGGAACATGGAAGTCAAAATCAATTTCAAATGACATAAAAACTACATAATTACAAGTATTGACAATTATGTACAAAACTTAGAACCCTCCCACATTCCTGGTAAGAATGTAAAATGACAAATTCACTGTAGATAGGCCCAGTGGTTTCTAAAAAAGAGAATCCTAAAATTACTAAAAGATTCAAAATTCTAATGCTAAGACCATACTTAAGAAAATTGAATAGATTCTGGGAAGATGGCCAACTAGTAGCAGCCCTTGTCAGAGGCTCCTGAGCAAAGGAAGAAAAACTGGATGGAATCAGAATCTATGAAGCCAAAGACGGGGAGCTGAGCCTAGAAAGAAGTTTGGCAAGATGTAAATCCAAGGAAGAGCATTTAAGAACACAATGTACAGGTACAAAGCAGGCCCCAGACCTGCTTGCTAGAGCTGCAGGCCTCCTATGGGTAGAGGGCGGCTGCAGAGGAGCCCCCAGCTCTGGGCAGGTGCAGAACTACTTGCTAGACTATGTGCACCCCATGGGTGGCAGTGGAGGAGTCCCCCACTCTGGGCAGGCCCAGAACTGCTTGCCAGAGTCATGCACCCCACGGGCAACAGTGGATATCCCTGCTCCAGGCTCCTGCTCTGGACGGGCCC